TTGTTTGTCTTTGCCACAGAAGACAAACATGTCAGGCTAACTTTACTTAAAGGTACAGTTCACCCATAACCGAAAATGAAGATACTTTTATGGTGCTTTCATATTAAACCACGTTTTAGAGTAGTATCCCTCATTCTGGTTCATTCTAGTTCAATGGAAAAGAGCAGCCAGGATATTGGACTAAAACTGGACTAAAACTCTCCTCTTGTGTACCACAGAAGAAAGAACAAAATGAGGTTTTCATTTTTGGGTGAACCACTTCTGTTTTACACGAAACAATTGTAGTGCTAAGAAGAGTTTCAGGGTTAAAGGAAACATCCTGCTTTCATTTCATTTCTGCTTTTCATTTTCATTTCAGGCACAGAGATATTTCAGAAGACTCAAGGATTTGTGATATTCAGTGATGCTGATGATTTCCATGGTAACCAGTGCTAACATTGCAGCGGCAGTGCAGAAATCAGTACAGCATTGTATTAACACAAAAAAAGAGTCAAGGGACAGGGCACAGTGTGTGTGTATGTGTGTGTGTGTGTGTGTGTGTGTGTGTGTGTATACATGCAGCCTATAGACGAGGGCTTTACAATAATCTTTACGGTTGGCCAGCATCTAAGTGCCGTTTGTGCATGAATGTGTGTGTGTGTGTGTGTGTGTGTGTGTGTGTGTTATAAAATGCTGTCTCTTTTACCTATACCTGCTCATAGCTTCTCTTCACCTGCCATCCATCCCATTATGAAAACGCACACACATCTTGCATCATTATTTACTGTTAATACAACTGAAGGTTTCTTCTCTGCTGTCTGCAGCATTTTATGAAATATGATTGTTTAAAGCAGTTTCTCAACCTGGTTCCTGGAGGGACACATACACAACTCACATTTGTGAACTTTTCCCAATTAAAGGGGTCATGAACTGAATTCCAAAATTCCCTTCATTTTTTGACAGATAAGAGGTCATTGTATTATAAAAGCATTCTGTAAGTTTCAGAACTCAAAACGTTCTCATTAGTCTAAAAACAGTCTGTCAAAACGACTTGTGGAGTGCACAACTCTATGATGTAAAAGTGTGGATACACACTGCCTCAGCAGAAGAAGATCAACACCTGCTTCTACATCGCTGCCTGTTTTGCTCCGCCCACTGATTCGTGCATGTAGTGTAAATAACGAGAAGGGCGAATGCAGGTCTATGCAGAAACCAAACAATAAAGATGGTTCCGAAGACAACTAGACGCTGTGCAGTGCATAGTCTTCGCATTGCCTTCCTTCTGATCCTAACATTAGTAAAGAGTGGATGAACTTTATTTTGAATGAAGTTTCAGACACCATCAGTAAGAGCTTGGTGCTTTGTTCACTTCATTTTACGGATTTGTTTATTCCACACAGGATTTTCAGAAGGATTAAAACTGACAGTCATATCGCAACACACAAGTGTGAGTAGCCTAACTGTTTTATTATGTGGTCAATTGCTTTGTCTAAAAAACAGATCGTTTGATATGAGTATTTAAGTGTTTTTAACCTAAGTCACTGCAGCGTTCATCTGTGAAGGACATACACCGTGTCCTAACTACACGCGACGCAACAAGCAGTTTGGCTGTCCACGTCAGACACGACGCGACAACACGTGAATTTGCCAAGTAAGACATGTTCCTGGATCAACATCTTTTGTTGAAGAACATTACTGTCCAAAAATATAGACTAAACCAAATCCCTAAACCTAACCCTACCCATAATTTTTTCCTACAATCAGTGTGAAATGATGAAATGATGAAGCACCTAACCCTGATCGTAAGCCTAAAACAGACATTTCCTGAAAAGTTATCTTTTAATTCTGATTGGTTAATTGGAATGTTGTTCCAGGATCAACAAGGATGTTGCTCCAGGAACATGTTGTACTTGGTGAAATCACGGTCACCCGACAACACGATGCGACAATGCTTAAATTTGAATTACGCACATAATCACCTGAGATTATGTCATATACACTCTTAAAAATAAAGGTGCTTCACGATGCCATAGAAGAACCTTTTTGTCTAAATGGTTCTATAACGAACTTTTAACATCTGAAGAACCTTTCTGTTTCACAAATGGTTCTTTGTGGTGAAAGAAGTTTCTTCAGATTATAAAAAGATAAGCAAGAGATGGTTCTTTGTGGAACCAAAAATGGTTCTTCTATGGCATCGCTTAAAGAACCTTTTGAAGCACCTTTATTTTTAAGAGTGTAGGCCTACTTTTAATGTTTTCGTTCCAGCCTGCGACGTCACAGAAATAGAAACCGTTTCTAAAATAAAAATTTTGCGTTTCGCCGTCATGGCTAGTTAGGACAAAAACACTGATTAACATGGAAAAGATACTTTTAATCGCGTGTCGCGGCATCGCTTCGCATGTAGTTAGGACAAGGTGATAGACTGTCAAACATACACAACTATAAGCCAATCATAGCAGAGTTCGGTAAAGCTTAAAACAATCGATAAAGACGTTTAAACGATGGAATTTCTGAGTTTTCAATGTGAAACTGCTGCAAACAATTCAGCGCGCGAGTGAATTTTCCAAATGAATCAAACTCAATCCAAACCATTTCATTTGCAAACCCGTTTGACTGATGTTTTATATCAAAACAAATGAGCTGTTTCGCTCGTGAATCTGGCTCAGCTGAGAGAAATGTTGTTGGTGAAAATGGTTCTCAGGTCATTATATGGTAATCTCTAATGACAGACATGAAAGTTATACTTTACTGGGTTATTTTACTAGAGTTCGTAATAGCTATTGCTATTAGTAAGCCACCACCCAGAACACCCGTCATATTTTGTTGATCATGGCAGTACTGTTTCCTGGTGTTTGGCATTTTGTGTTTTGCAAGCCAGATTTCTTCTTCTTCTGAACATTTCTTCCTGTTAAACCAAATAATGTAGTTTCTCTCTTGCAAAATTCTATTTGCTGTGTTTGAGTATGAAACTGATCTGGCCTGGCAAAGGCCTTCTGAGAGAACAGCAGTCTAGATGAACATCTGTAGATTTCATCTCAGTGCGGGATTTCTAAACAGAAGCTAAACAGCTTTTTTTTTCAGGCTGCTTAAGACATCCTCTCTTATCATAGAGTTTACCTTGAATTAGCAAAGGAAATGTTTGTTATAGATATTTGACATGTGGGTCAATGACAAGTTAGAGTGTTCAAGATAATGAAACATTAGCTTTAAATGCAGGATTTCTTAGAAATGTACCCTGCATTCATGCTGGTTTTATTTGGTTTTGAAAAACCTTCACATCATTTTCAAGTTCACATTTAATGACTCAGAATGCAAAGTAACAACCGTGTGCATTAAATACACGTGTGTACACATCTTAATCATATTTTCAAATAACTAAATACATTTTTAAAATGCAATTAAAATTACATCCGCATTCATTTTCATTGTTTGGAAAGGAGCAGCGTGAACATTTTGCACTGTCTTTCCTTTTCTGTTCCTCTGAAGAAAGAATGTAATGGTTTGAAGCATTTGAATTTTTGGGAGGACCATTCATTTAACAGATGATTTACTTATTTATTCCTGTTAATATTTAGAGAATTGTCATGAAAGTGGCCAAATTACGCTCTCTTGATCTTTTATTAATTTCAGCTGTAGCTCTTCTTCTTTTGTGCAGTTTCTCAGCGCTCTGAAGGCATGACTATCTCAATGTGTTTGGTGATAAACATTTTCCTGTTTCCTGTTTAGAGAGCATTGACATGGAGATCTCTGGATCAGGCAGGTGTGTGTTTTGTTCGAGTGTAACAATGTGTATTTGTCTACAATGTCGTCTGGTTGCCACTAACACAGCTGTGCAGGTTACCATGGCAATAACGAGACATGCGTCATATTCATTTCCATCTTCATCTAAGTGTTGGCCACTGATTCTAACAGAAAACAATAAGGGATCCGGTTTGTCTGAATGCTCCACTTTAGACAACCTGATTATGATTATTATACATCAAAACAACCAATGCAAATGTCATATAAAAATAATTTAATATGCATACCAAGTACGTTAATCTTGACTGTTTATATATGCTCATGACCTATTAAGTGGTGTGTGTTCACGGCCTCCATGTGTTGGCTGACAGCTTTATGGGCCCCATATGGAAGAAATGGCCCCTGAAAGCTAATGGACCCTGAGACCCTTATGCTGCCTGCCAGCTACGCACAGGAGCTGTACAAATGATGTCTGCTGAACATCTGTTGAGTCCAACTAGTTTTAAGTTCACTGAACTAATTTATAACTTGACTTAATTCTCATTCATTTAAATGAAAACAGTTGTGATGTTCAGATCATTTATTTACATGCAGTGCCCACACTGTCCTAACATGGTGTAACAGTGCCCTCTGCTGATTAAAATTACTTTATGACCGCAGACACAAAATACAGACATTCTGGAAGTGTTTTATCACATAACTAAACACATACACCACACATTTGATCATTTATCAAGTAATGGGAAACTCCCTTTCCTATTAAGGCAACACAAGGACTGTTGTGTTCTAGAAGTGCAGTTTTTTTTTTTTTTTTTTACAATTATCAACATGTAAATGTTTACTTATATTTTATTACAAGATATAAAACATTTGTCTTTAAAAAAAATTTTTTGAGTCTCTATCATTTTTAGCTGCTTTTATGTGGGATTTTTTTTTAAACAAACAGTAAAAAAATCATGAACCATGAAACAATTTGTGAATTAGCAAAGTGGGCAAATGTACAAAAATATTGAAACATTGTTTAGCCTACATGTTATTTTATTTTTTACAAAACACTGAACTTTTTATATTTTTCTTAATATGCATTTTCTATTTCTTTTTCATTTTCTTTACCGTATAAATTTGTGTATGTTTATTTACATTTACAATACATTTTTTGTATTTTAAAATTGGTAAGAATTACATTACTCATTTTAAATGTTAAAAAAATAATGAATTAGTGTTACATCATTTAAGAATACATTTATTAACTTTTATAAACAGTTAAAAAAACACCCAGAATCCACAGAAAGCCACAATATTATAACAACAGTTACTTTTACACTGAATTACATACATATTTAAACACAAATATCCAAAGAACTGACTACTAAAGCAGTAGATAAATACATGGTAATAATGACACAGGAGCAGATATGTTAGTGGTGAATCAGAGAGAGTTTCTGAGGATGAGCTGCACGCTGAGGCTCGAAGGCTCCTCCACCGGCTGCTGTGAAAGGTTGTTGGTTTGTGGGATGCTGTCTACAGTACAGCCCTTCACAGGACACACAGAGAAACGAGACAACAGTGTCACAAGAATAGACTTCATCATCACCATAGCAATGTGCTTCCCCACACACGACCGCGGGCCCGATCCGAACGGCTGAAAGAAACGACTCGGCACCTTGATAGAGAGAGACAGAGAAAGGAATTGCATTGTTGGTGCTGCCATGGACCCAAAACATACTATTTTGATTGATTAAATATTGACTTTATTGCCATTTTTAAGAAAATACTGAAAAATTAATGGTTTCTGCATTAAAATAAAATAACTGTATTATAAAGGATTGTGAAAATTCAAATTATACTATTACAATTAGTATTAACAATAGTCACAATACTGGGTTAGTTAAATAGTAACAATAACTGTTATAACAATGTTATTTTGGTAAAAATAAATAATTTGGTAAAATAAATAAATACAAAATAAAATTCTATAATAACCACAGTGCTTTTTTGTAAGGTTGTAAGGGAGATAAACATGATAAACAATTTGGTAGATATTATATAGTTACTGTATATAATGAGATTAATGAAACAATGCAATTATAAGTTTAAAAGTCACTGTTCATTGATTGCTGGACTATATATTTTTAAGTTTTTTATTTTAAAATAGAGCAAAGGTAAATTGCGTAGGATTTAAATACAAGTGTTAAAATCATACAAAATAAAATATTAAAATTATTTAAAAAATATAATACAAGTAACATGGGATCTTCCTCCAGCAATTTCAGAATCTTTTTTTTATATATAGAATCATAAAAAATATATCAAATGTATACAAAATAATACTATAAAATATATATAAAAAATTCTCTAACAAAAAAAAAAAAATCTTATTAATTTATTAATATTAATATTTATTTGAGTGATGGCTAATAGTAAATGTTTATAAAGGCACTGAAGACAGGAATATAAGGCAAGAAACACATTTTATAATGAAGACTCACATTTTTCTTGAAGTTGTCCAGACTGAACTGATTCGGTTTGGGGAAGAATTCGGATCTGTGCATCCGACCCACGTTCAGTATGATGTTTGTTCCTTTCTTCACTTTGTAGCCCTCGATTACATCATCATTCAGCGCCCGGCGCATGGTGAAGTCCACGACCGGATGGAACCGAAGCGACTCGTTGATAAAACTCTCCAGAATGTGTAACCTGGACAGATGTGAGTGCCGCAGGCTCCTACCCGCTACAAAACACAATCACAACACGATGTTCAAATGACCAGAGAAACATCTGGATCAAACATACACTGACTACACTGTCAAAACTGAATAATTCTGAGTCTTTCAGTAAATTGAAAAGTGTTATGAAAAGATTCTTCAACAGTTTTCTTTTTGTGTACTACAGAATATACAGGTTGAAAATGACAGAGAGTAAGGATGAGGAAATAATTCCTTTAAAGTACGATGACTGAATCGTGTGTGTCTGCTCATACCTAAGACAGTGTCCATTTCCTGCAGGATCTTTAACTCCACGTCTGGATTTTGTTTGAGCAACAGCAACATGAAGAACAGACTGACGGAGAGAGTGTCTGGAGCCGCGATCAACATCTCCAACACACACTGCCTGACGTTCTCAGCACTCAACTCCCCGTGGCTCTAAACACACACACACACACACACACAGGTCAGTCATTTTCATACATGTTTCAAAAGTGTGTGTGACGTTCTGGCATGTCACATTCACCTGAGCAAATATCAGCTCTGCTGTGAAGTCGAGATGGTCAAGTTTTTCTGCATGTGTCAGCTGAACTCTCTTCTCCTCGATCAGAGCTGCAATGGCATCCTGCAACGTCTGACTGAAACACACACACACGCATGCACACGCACACAGACACACACACACACACACACACACACACACACACACACACACACACACACACACACACACACACACACACATACACACACACACAGAGGTTTACACACATACATCCCATAGGCGTAATGGTTTTTATACTGTACAGACCGTATATTCTATTGCCCTTTACCAACCCTACCCCTAAACCTACCCCTTACAGGAGACTTTGTGCTATTTCAGATTTTCAATACACTCCATTCTGTGTGATTTATAAGCGTTTTGAAAAGTGGGGACATGGGGTAATGTCCTGAAAAGTCACCTTCTCTTTGTAATACCTATGTCATACCTTTGTCATTATACAAATTTATGTCCTCATTTGTCACAAAAATGCGTACACACACACACACACAGAGCATAAAAAACACAACTTTCCAAAGCCTTTAAAAATGTTCACAAAAGAAAACCAATTCAGTCCTAAAAGAAGGTTTTAAAGCTCTCTGGGTTCTGCATTTGTGATAAAGTGTTTCTTACAAATGTCATCACTTTCATATACTATGGTATGTGCATGCATTTACAGTACTGTACGTACATCTCCAAAACAACATCTCATGAACTCACGCGTCTCCCTTGTGCTTCCTGTGAAGCCAGTCCAGTCTGAAGTAAACATCAGGTTTGATTAATACGGTCTGCCAGGTGTCAAAATATTTATGAATCTTCTGAAGCAGATCATGCTCTGCAACACAGCAACAAGAAACCAGCAATTACATATAACATATAATGAGTTTTCAATGTATAGCAGATACTAAAATTGCAGAATTAACCATGAGATCACAAACAATGGAGAGAACATCTGCCATGCCCTTAAAGAGATGGCTCACCCTAAAACAAATGGACTCTTTTAACGATGTCCTTACTACTTTTCTGGGCCTTCAGCATGGTATCATTCAAGTTCCACTAGAACTGACATTGAAATTTACTTTAGTTTACCATATATGCTTGGCAGTGTATTTGACAGTACATTTTGATTGTTTCAAATAGACAATAGAATTATGAAATTACTTACAAATATGCACTCTTAACTGCATTTAATATAAATTTAAACTAGAATACATTTTCATTATTTGTAAATAACATGCAGAGTATACTGGTAAACATTACATTCAGTTTGCACTAAGTACAAGTATTTCTGTAATAATACTCTTTTAAAATTATGCTAAAATGTAAAGTCTTTTTCACAAGGAATAGTGTGTGTGTGTGTGTGTGTGTGTGTGTGTGAGAGAGAGAACTTACCTGCTCAAGATCAGAGTTTCCTCACCGTTGATCCAGACCCGCACAATGTCTCCGTATTTTCTGTTGTAGTAGTTGCTGGCAGTGCCGATCCCAGACCAAATGAACCGACAGTAAGAGAGAAGAGGACCCAGACCCAGGAAAAAACAAGGACCTGAATAAAACACATTGCAGCAAACAATTAGTTGACACAATGAGAATGTGACATGCAATAATGAATCTGAATATATTTTAAACAAGATTTACATAATTATTATACGTGGAGTTTTTAGGACATTAATAATGAATGTATCATGTGTGGGGCTCTTACTTTTACTGTGAACATTTAATTATCCAATTAGAATTTAAACCCTTTGTTTTCTAAATATGTTGACTACACAGTACTATCTACCAAAAATGTAGATAGCATAGTCACTAACAAAGGATACAATAAATATATTTAATGACATTCAAGTTCCACTAGAACTGACATTGAAATTTACTTTAGTTTACCATGTATGATTGGCAGTGTATTTGACAGTACATTTTGATTGTTTCAAATAGACAATAGAATTATGAAATTACTTACAAATATGCACTCTTAACTGCATTTAATATAAATTTAAACTAGAATACATTTTCATTATTTGTAAATAGCATGCAGAGTATACCGGTAAACATTACATTCAGTTTGCACTAAGTACAAGTATTTCTGTAATAATACTCTTTTAAAATTATGCTAAAATGTAAAGTCTTTTTCACAAGGAATAGTGTGTGTGTGTGTGTGTGTGTGTGTGTGAGAGAGAGAACTTACCTGCTCAAGATCAGAGTTTCCTCACCGTTGATCCAGACCCGCACAATGTCTCCGTATTTGCTGTTGTAGTAGTTGCTGGCAGTGCCGATCCCAGACCAAATGAACCGACAGTAAGAGAGAAGAGGACCCAGACCCAGGAAGAAACAAGGACCTGAATAAAACACATTGCAGCAAACAATTAGTTGACACAAAGAGAATGTGACATGCAATAATGAATCTGAATATATTTTAAACAAGATTTACATAATTATTATGCGTGGCGTTTTTAGGACATTAATAATGAATGTATCATGTGTGGGGCTCTTACTTTTACTGTGAACATTTAAGTATCCGATTAGAATTTAAACCCTTTGTTTTCTAAATATGTTGACTACACAGTACTATCTACCAAAAATGTAGATAGCATAGTCACTAACAAAGGATAATTGAATAATTGAAAAACGAAATATGTGCCCGTTTTTCATTTTTCAGATTTCAATATTAAAACAAAAATTGATTGGACGGAAGATACCCTGATTGTTCTGCTATATTTTGTTTGTAACTCTTTATGTTGGCAAAATACTGAAGGAAAAAAAAACACAATATTCAGTCAATATATCTCAAATGTATGCCACTAAATATTAACTTAAACATGGCCTATTTATTTGTCTATTCTTTCTCTTAATTCTTCATTTGTTTATTATATATCTCTGGATAAAATGCAGTTATGGTATTTCAAAACCAGACAGTCTGACCTACAACCGTGTGGATGACCACCCTACCCAGAAGCTGTGTCAAATCCATTATTGATTATTATTAAATTCATTTATTTCATTATCAATTTTCTTCATGTGTTTCTTATGCAGTCTTAAAACATCAATATTAAGTATTTTATGGTTTTCACCATTCAATTTAAAACAAAAACAAATTGTTACAGTGAACACAAAAGTCATTTTGTGTCTTCAGTTTGCCCTCTTTGTGTGTGTCTATCAGATTCAGAGACATTGTGAATTCACTGAACGCCCACTTTCATCGCTAAAGAATTTATGGAAATAAGATGACATCTTTGAGTGCGGTCAGAGCAGATGCATGCAAAATTCTGGCATTTTCTGTGTAAAGGGAGGATCCTTAATAGTTCATGTGCCAATAGGTGAATGTGTGTGATACCTTCATTTCACACATTCGTTCTCTGACATTGAACATCTCATTACAAATACATACTGATGTAACCTTGACACATCTGCTGTATTAACTCTATTTTCACCATCTCACTTTGATTCTTAGTAATGTTGTAGAAGAATTAAATGCAGGTCAATAATTTTTGGCAGCAGCTTAATGGATAAACCCCTGAGAACTTAACTAGATAGATGTAGCTGGATTAAGGCCCAAAGGGGGTTATTTGAACCACTGCAACGATTAACTTCAGGTTGCTCCAGGGGGACTAAAGCTGTAATGTTACTGTAAGTTACAGTACCATAAATAAGAATACAAAATTACCATTACCAATTAACCTACATAACTGTATGGAGAAAAAAAAGTGAGTGGCCTTCACCCATGCAAAACAGGCATCGACGTGTGGCTGCTAAGGTGATTTTAGCATGCATTGTATGTTTATGTGCTTGCTAGAGTGTTCTGAGTAAACAAATTCTGAGTTAAAAATACTCATTCTCATGTTTCTGTGACATATGATTTGTGATCTGCTATTTTTTCCACCTAAAAGAAATATTAACAATATATTTCTGCTCATTTAATGAATCATTTATGACTGATATTTATTCATTTCATTGATTTGTGTGGTATATTGAGTTATGTGACTACATGGAGGTGTAAAGGGGAATTTTCTTGGATGTCAAAATTTCAGGGTGGTCTTAATAAAGTCTTTGAGCTTCTCATAAAGGAGTCAACCTTTTGAACATGCAGCAACATCACACACTACATTATTTGGGGCTGGAATGTCTTTCTCGGAAAGAAACAAGTAATCTTTAATTCATTGGAGAACAAAGTGTCCCTCTGCACATTGAAAGACACGTCACTTATATATGTCGTCACTTCAATACGGCCTTTGTGGTCCTTGAGTTTCGCAATTCGTCAAATAAGTTGTTTGTCCCCTGTAGCAAAACTGTGGGCAGGAAGCCACAAGGAAGAGAATTGTGAGTACTGTCAACCATAAATTTATAGGTCATTTACATTTATGTTTCTTGCTGGTGCTTTCTTACAAAGACATCTAGGAAAGTGCTTATATTGTGTTTTACTGCATTTTGTGATGAATATTAATTACAAAACTCAATAAGTACCGTTTCATTTTTCATGATTATGCCATGTTTATTGTCCATCCACTGAATAACTTCGGCAGTCTATCGCCAACACCTCCATCCTGGGGAAAGTGTGCGTTGATCTCTGTGATGGTTGTGTGTTCAGCTCAGTGAAAGCAGTGTTAGCCGTGCGGCTGTCGAGAGTGGACGTTTGTTTCGGGTTTCTCATGAGGAGTGCCAAATCACAGATAATAACAGCAATGTTTGAGACAACGCACAGGGAGAGAAGCCAAACCACTTCCTTTTACTGAACACAGTCCAATATCCACTCAAATGACCTCTCTGAGGTCTGAGGGCCTGTTTTATAAAAATCTTGCATATATAGCCAGTATCTTTTTTTTCACTGCTTAATAATTAATGTCACTCATTTGGATTTTCTTATGTAGGTTCTTGTTTTTCATATAAAATGTGATTTCTTTTAATGCCTACTTGTGTAGGCCATTCTATTGCAGGTAAATTTCGGTGTTCCACAAGGTTCCGTTTTAGGCCCTTTGTAATTAATTTTGTGCATACTCTCTTTAGGTGATATTACTAGGAAACTTGGCATTAGCTTTTATTATTATACAGATGACATACAGCTTTATATCTTCTTTTCAACATAGTGGATTGCATACTTCCTTCTAATTAATTCCAATTAAATGGGAATACAAATTTTTTTTTGACTACATCTTTCAAAAAGTTGGACAGACTACAATCTGTCTTGATGGTACCACTGTTGACATCAGTAGAACATTTCAGAACAATGGAACCATCTAGAATTGCATGTCATTAGAATCCCCATTAAATTTGCACATTTCTTATATCTCTAACACAACTTTATTACTCTAAAGGAACATCCTCTTTATTCATGATGCTGAAAAGTTAGTTCACATTTAATGACCTGATAATTGAAATGCACTATTGGCTGTTTGTCTAGTTGCCTCCATATATATTCTGCAGGTAGATTTAGCAGGAGTATAAGCAGCTCAAAGTGTAACTAAGTTCTGTCAGCCAAATTGAATCATTTACTGGTTATGCGTTAAGTTCGATATCAGTTATATCAGCTCTTCATTGTCTGTTAGGGGAGTCGGTGAACTTGACTGACCTCATAAATTTGAGCTTTAAACCAGTTTAAAAAAAGTAAATTAGTTTTTCAAGCCAGACTTCTCTACTAGTCTGGTGACTATACAGTAGCTGTACTAACTAGTAAAGGGAACATTACTTTTAACAAGCCTGTTACAATATTCTATTTCTCCCAATACAATTTAATTGATTATGTTACATTGTTTCATTTTATGTAAAGTAGAGTAAATTAGTTTTTCAAGCCAGACTTCTCTACTAGTCTGGTGACTATACAGTAGCTGTACTAACTAGTAAAGGGAACATTACTTTTAACAAGCCTGTTACAATATTCTTTCTTTCAATATTTATTTCTCCCAATACAATTTAATTGATTATGTTACATTGTTTCATTTTATGTAAAGTAACATGTGTTATTTTGTCATTTTAAGTATTCTGATGCATCATTTAATTTACTTTGAACAAAAGCTGATTGGTTTTAACAGGTTCTAATTATGTAACACATGAGTTACCTCCAACGCTGATACTAATTACCTCCAATATAATAAAACCTCTTTAAAGGGTTTGAGCTAATTTAATGAACAGTTGACAATCAAATAATTATTATCATATCCTAATCATTAAAATTATTAATTGACCATTTTAGATTGTTTTAAATGAAATATAACACTCTTGGTAAAGAACCTGGCTAACCTCAAAAAAAAAAAAACAGATTTAAAGTTGATTTCAATTAATCTTACAAGCCAGACTTCTGGCAACTAGCACCTTGTTTGCCAGTGAAGTTGTACCCAACTAACTACTTAAAGAAATGACAGAAAAAAACCTGACTGAACTGATATGACCTTCACACTCCTCTCAGCATAAGAACATACTCAGTCAGTACACACTCTATTCAGCTCTGATACCTTGTTCCTTGCTTGCGTGATCACACAAACCCAACCAAGGAGCTTGTAGCTCAGCTTGTATGTTTTATTTGGCAATGACCTACAGCTGCAGGGCAGAGGACCACAAAACACAACAGACTTCACATCTTCCTACAGCAGTGCACCAGCATTTATCAGGAAATTCATCGTTTTTAATACACAAACAATCTGGCTGTGCACCAGTAAAACTATATTATTATTATCTTCTTTAATTATTAATTCTTCTTTAATTACCAATACTGGCAGTGCATGCCATTTCCAATTATAGCGAGGGCAGATGTATTCCACATTCATTATATAAGCATAGAAATCGAAGACCGTCTGAATGAGAGCGAGGTGCTGCTAACTGATATCAGATCAAAACCCGAATTAAAACTACAGTTTTGTGTGATATGGGCACTATAAGAATCACATATCAGGCCTTAACTCCACAACCAGCCTACATTCCCTTAAGGGTCTTGGCTCCTTAAGCTGCTGACATTTACTCGCTCTGACATATGGCTATATGTTCAGATTTTGTCTATTAAAATGTTTAGTAGACATTCTGGTGTTAAAAGTTGCACTACCGTTGCCAAAACAGCTTTGAATTGTCTAATAAAAAATACATAAGACTACATATTTGCAGATGTTTGGAGACCGTCTTAGTAGAACTGTTTTAAGAAAGTGTTTACTGAAATCTTGCAGTGGCTCTCAGCGTGTCTAGTTTTCTTCCACATCATTGACTGTTGGTGTCGATGTGGATTATGCTGGTCAAACCCACGGTCATGCTGAAGAATGGACTCTACTGCATATAAATCAGGTGACTGCACAAGTGGGGGGGGGTTCTTCTCCAGCGCATCAAGACGGCACAAAGCCAAGCAGCCCTCAGTCACAGCACACAGACTCGACTCGAAACAAGGACTTCAATTGTTTTCTCGCATCCAGAGGCTGTCCTTTTTTAAAGGGGAATATTGTAGACTTTTATTATTCAGCTTACTTTTCGAACGTGTTGAATTGTTATTTGTGCGTTGCAGTTTTTGAACACTTTTTTGTATTTCTGAATTGAAGTCAGAATGCTGGATCCATTGGCTGAGTTGAGAAGTACTGGAGGCTTTAGACAGTGTGGTGGCCGGTTGTCCTGGCAGGTGCGTTGGATCTTGTACAGTCTGTGCGTACTGACGGTAATAAACTGTGCCGGCCTGGTTCTGCTCCTGGTTCAGCAGAGAGAGCTGTGGGCTCATCTGACTGAGGTGGAGAGGCAGATGGTGGAGATTTCTCAGAGCTCCGTTGTGGAGTTCATGACACAGGTGAACGAAGAGGAGGCAGAGTATCAATACTCCAGAAACAAACGCAGCCGGCAGCATCGAGGGACACGACCCTTTGAGGAGCATGAGGGGAGGGTGGGAGAGGAAGTCTTGGGAGATTTCCAGTATCAGTATCCGCAGACGCATGGGCCGGTTTACCAGCACAAAACAGAAGAGCAGGATGGAATGATGATGATGATGACATACTCCATGGTGCCAGTAAGAAACTGATACTGACATGATTGATTTATTTATGGAGATCACACAAAAGCAAACTGTGGATAAAATGTGGAAAGTGTCAACTTTAATCTCCCAGACTGCTTTCTCTATGTTGGGGGGGGGGATAAAAAAATAAAAAGCACAAAGTCATGACACAGGTGAACGAAGTTGAGTCAGAGTATCAATACACCAGAAACAAACGCAGCCGGCAGCATCGAGGGACACGACCCTTTGAGGAGCATGAGGGGAGTGTGGGAGAGGAAGTCTTGGGAGATTTCCAGCATCAGTATCCGCAGACGCATGGGCCGGTTTACCAGCACAAAACAGAAGAGCAGGATGGAATGATGATGATGATGACATACTCCATGGTGCCAGTAAGAAACTCATACTGACATGATTGATTTATTTATGGAGATTACACAAAAGCAAACTGTGGATAAAATGTGGAAAGTGTCAACTTTAATCTCCCAGACTGCTTTCTCTATGTTGGGGGGGGGGATAAAAAAATAAAAAGCACAAAGTTAAAACCTGATGATAGCTAAGTTAAGCTGTAAAAACTATTACATACTTAATAGTAATGCATTTTTTGTAAGGTTCCTTATTTTATCTAGTTGTAACTGTAATATATCTGAATCTCCTGATAGATGGAAATGTTTCTTATATAGTATATACTGTAAAATTATATTTTACATTTTATCATACACTGTAAGAAAACAAAAACAAAAATTAACAAACAAACAAACAAAAAGTCTAAGTCTAAATATCTGTAGAAATGCCTGTAAACTCTTTTATAAGTTTTATAAGTTTTATAAACTTTTAAAAAGTTTATAAGCATTTCTAACCCTAACATATAACAGAATGAAATGCAAAATTCAGAATATGGATAAAACCTGCGTAAAAATCAATATGGGAAATTCCTTTACATTAACACAGTACATTATTTACTTTCTAAGGGTGTAATGAAAAAAATATATATAGATATAAGATTTGTGTGTAATCTGTAGATGATTCTGTAATTCATAAATGAAAAGTAAATGCTTTTAGCTCAGGGTTGCCCAAACTCGGTCCTGGAGGGCCGGTGTCCTGCAGAGTTTAGCTCCAGCTTGCCTCAACACACCTGCCTGGAAGTTATAGTATGCCTAGTAAGAGCTTGATTAGCTGGTTCAGGTGTGTTTGATTAGGGTTGGAGCTAAACTCTGCAGGACACCAGCCCTCCAGGACCGAGTTTAGCTCCTTTAAATTTGTTTTTAGTTTTGCTCCAGTAGTTACATAATTGAATTCTTCTAGAATATTCTTCAACACAGACCTGCAAAAACTTGAGTACAATATATGTTTCAGGTTAAAATTCTTCTGGACATTTGCAACAGTACTAAAGGTGTCTGTCTGACCGGTGAGTATGGGTCGTTTTTATTTTCACAACTGATTATCTCCTGAATCTGTTGTCTCCAAGTTTACAGTTTGGTTTGCTTTTGGCTTTCACAGGGCCACCAGGACCACCAGGAATTCCAGGTAGGAAATGAACTATTTTAATGTTGTTTATGGGTTATTCTACCACAGGAAAAAAAAAAATTAGATATGATGATCATAATGTAAAAAAGTGTTTTTTTGCAGTTGTCCTTATTATAGGTGTACTTTTTCTGTGTAGTGAAATACAGTATGAGAGTGCAAGAATTACAAGAAAAAAACAATTTCAAATATTAACACTTTTGACTTTAGAATTTCACGTTTAATTCAATCTGTTACTTGACATTTCTTTGTACCTAATTGTGAAATTGTCCAAGTGAAATGTATTTCTACACCAATTTTCAGTGTAGCATTCCAAATAATGTGTTACTCACATAATCTTACTTTATGGAATTCCAGGCTTGCCGGGTGTGGACGGAATGCCGGGGTATAACGGAACAGATGGAATTCCAGGGTTGCCAGGAGAGCCTGGAGCACATGGAAAACGAGGAAAAAGAGGTATACGCAAAAGAACATGGAAAATCCATCCATCATGCACATGAATGAATATAGTCAAAAAGGTCTTCTGAAAGAAAATGTCCTCCTTTCAAACCTCTTCCCGAAAATCTGTCTGCTTTCTATAGCTTTTATCATCCACTCAAGAAAATAAGAGGGGAATTTTATCCTGCTTCAGTCACACAGCAGGATTCAGAGAGACTCCGAGATCTCCCACTGAATAAAGCAGAACTCATGATAACAGCTGACTGACTGCTCTGTTCTGAGAGCACAAGAGCCCACAGACATTCTAGAAGTGCCATTCAGCAAATCAATTATGTAGAAACTGAATGAAATTCTTTATACCGTGGTGGAGAAATTACCAGAAAACATTTGAATACATTTTATGATGATTCCATACTTTAAGTTCCACAAGCAAGTGATTATTTATTGGCAGTTTATGCTTCAAAATGCACCGTTTACCTGGCTAGGTAGATGTTACAAGCGGTTTAGAACCAACAACCACGCAGAGTACCCTAACAATCAACCACACTTGCTTTAGTTCAGAAAATGTATCGATATATTTACTTAAAATGTTAGTAACACTTTATTTTAAGGTGTAGTTACAAGTTACATGTACTTACTATAGCAATAATAGTATATTATTAGTAGTAAAAGACAATGACATATTACAAGTAACCAACCCTAAAACAAACCCTAATCTTAATCCTGTAGTTTGTACATGGAGTTAATTAATATCTACTAAAATAAACCATAACCGTTACATTTATCACATGACTGTAATAATGTAATAAATGATTCTGAATGATTTGAGAACTGTGTTGCATGAAGTCATGAATGAATGAAACAACCACGCAGAGTACCCTAACAATCAACCACACTTGCTTTAGTTCAGAAAATGTATCGATATATTTACTTAAAATGTTAGTAACACTTTATTTTAAGGTGTAGTTACAAGTTACATGTACTTACTATAGCAATAATAGTATATTATTAGTAGTAAAAGACGATGACATATTACAAGTAACCAACCCTAAAACAAACCCTAATCTTAATCCTATAGTTTGTACATGGAGTTAATTAATATCTACTAAAATAAACCATAACCGTTACATTTATCACATGACTGTAATAATGTAATAAATGATTCTGAATGATTTGAGAACTGTGTTGCATGAAGTCATGAATGAATGATTTTTTTGTACCTGTGTGTAGGTCCTCCAGGTGAGAAGGGTGAGCCTGGTGAGAGAGGAGAGCAAGGATATCCTGGACCCCAAGGACCCCCTGGAGAACAGGGCGAACCTTCAAATGATGTCATTGTAGAGGGTAAAGACAAATTCTGTTTTTAATAGGATATGAGGATGCTGGAATATTGTCACAGCTAAAGGGTCTTGTTAAGCAAGACTATATTGACACTGCATTGTTGGATGGTGACTGTGATTTCACCAAGTACAACATGTTCCTGGATCAACATCCTTGTTGATCCTGGAACAACATTCCAATTAACCAATCAGAATTGAGGGATAACTTTTCAGGAAATGTCTGTTTTAGGCTTACGATCAGGGTTAGGTGCTTCTACACCCTCGTTAATCAGCTATCATTTCACGCTGTTTTTAGGAATAAATTATGGGTAGGTTTAGGTTTAGGGGTAGGGATTGGGTTAGTCTATATTTTTGGACAGTAATGTTGATCCAGGATCAACAAAAGATGTTGATCCAGGAACATGTCTTACTTGGCAAAATCACGGCGACCTTGTTGGATACTGCATAATAAAATAGCTGAGAACACATTTTTATTACAATGTTATTTTATGCCATTTTTCCCCCAGTGAGAAGATATAGTCCTGCCATTTATATGGATCTTGGACCCCCGTGGATCACAACAATGTTGGCATGATAAATGAGTGATGGCCATATTCCTTCTGCTTTAATCTGCAGGTCCACCTGGTCCAATGGGACCCCCTGGCCTCCCTGGTCCACCTGGCCCTCCAGGCCCCCCCGGGCCTCAAGGGCCAATAAGACACAGGAGCCACAGAGCACATCTCCACATGGGGAAGGAGTCTGTAGGTAAGTTGAATGGCTAAAATGCTAAATTTTGCATGTACATATTTCAAAATTACCACATAATCCTTCTCACAATCAAAACAAACAAAAGAAAACCATTTTCTTTATTCAAATTGAAAATGTATAACTGTATGTAAATTACATACAACTAACTTTTTTAAAAACTGTAATACACTAAACAAATATTATTTTTATTACAGGAATGAGAACTACCATTGATAATGAGAATTACTAAACAATTAATGTACAAACACATTGCATTAGTTACAATAATATTTCCTCTTGCTTAATTTTTGTCACAATTTACAAAATATTTTAATGTGATTTTCAGTAATCAGATTTCTAATTTTATTTATAATGTGTAAGCTCTTTTTTCCCCTTTTGATTTTGTGACAGATTATGACATGGACATCCAAAATTGGGTATAGTGACTTTCCCCCGTAAGACACATCATAACATGTAATATGATATATGTAATCTACAGGTCACCTTAATTCAGTCCCAAATGATGACACCATCAGCCAGAAAATAGTATCATGGAAGATAAACGGTACCAACAAGGGCAAATTATAAGTTGTTATACATTTAACTACAGCTTTTATAAGCTTTACCTCTAACTGTGTGATTGTGTTTGGTAGACTGCATCATAAAATCAGTGCAGAATCCCAGATATTTGATGAAAACGAGCAGCACGTTTGGAGCATGGATGATGGACACTGCTGCTAACGACAATGAGAAGATCTGGGTGGCAGAACATTTCTCAGGTACTGAAGAGAGAACCATCATTCATCAATACAGCACATAAACCCTGCATTTAAACTCTACTTCCATCTGCAAGTGTTAAATGTGATCAAAATGTTTAATCTTTGGTATTTGACTAAATGCTGTTATAGAACATATCTTGTATTGAACATGCAATATTGCTTTTAAGATTTTCCCCATGTTTACAAATTTATTAGGACGTATCATAAAGGAGTACGACAGTATCGCAGCGTTCCAGAACAGCAGCAGTGAATCTATTGATGTCCGAAAATTTTTCCAAGGTTGCGGCCACGCTGTACATAACGGCTCCATATTCTACCACATCGCTGGAACTTCCAATATTGCTAAGTATGACTGAAGTCAGATCTCCTTGATAATACCATAATTATAAGTCATGAAATTGAGCCAAAAATGAAAATTCTGTCATCATGTGACTCCAAATATATGGAGGACTAGGAGTGCCACTTAATAAAACGAAGAAACCAATTATCAATCAATCAATCAATCAATCAATCAATCAATCAATCATAAATAACTTGTCAAATAGAAACCATTTAAAACAATTTACAGTAACACTTTATTTTAAGGTGTTCTTGTTACACCTTGTAAGCCAAACCCTAACCATATAGTAAGTACATGTAGTTAATGAATATTACTCAGTACGTAATCGTATAAATACACTGTTAACAAGGACACCTTAAAGTAAAGTGTAACCCAATTTTATACATGTTTAAAATTTACTGTAGTTTACGGTAACAGTGAAATAAATGGACAGACTTTTAAAAGTTTTGGTAACAATTTTCTTGGGGTAAATAAGGTACAAAAATTTACATTGTATCTTCTATACCTTAGGATACAAGCCACGGCTTTATAATTTTTCTAAAATAAAGTGTGACCAAACTTTATTATTTAAATATTTACTTAATTGCTTATAACTAATTATTAATTACTCATTAATTATACATTTTTAATCAATGCATTTGAAAAAAAGTAAATGCAATGTAACTGTAAAATGTTAGTTACATGCAATCACAAAGATAATATT